CTAAAATTCCGTCGAATTTTTTATTCATATAATGTTCTGTAAGAAAACGGTTATTTTTTTTCTCAAGATTTTTAACAAGAAGTTGAAAATTCTTAAATCAAAAACATTCGTACTCTTCAAATAACCCACTGCCACTGAAAAACATTTCCGGTAAAGCTACAGTTAGCCGTGCATTTACTCCGAATGTTTTCCTTTAGTATACGAGTATCCCCAAAGTGACTTCTTGTCAGTTTTTCTAATTTCACCATGAACTGAACTTCGTTGATTCTTTCCTGATGTATCCATAGACAGTAACATACAGTTATTACTTCGACGAAGAAACTTTACAAGCATCGCAGAATACTTCGAACTTCAAGCAAATTACTAAACCAAACTCCGTTTTCTGTTACTAGTAATAGTTCGTGATTACTGTATCCTTTAATTGTTTGCACTTTGATTTAAAACCATTTATTTCATTTTTGTACAAAATCTATCGGAATAAAATTCCTTGAAAAGGCTGTTCAAACATTAGATACTTTAAAAATCTGAATAATTCAGTAACTAAAAATAATAAAATCAAAACATTCTGTAATGTTTTGTTGGAAAGAGATTAATTGTTTGTATTTTTTGTTAAAGATTTCAGCTTTCAACAATGTTCATCAAGTTGGTGCGTATAAACAGAAGCACTGTGTATTTATCCATTATACAAAAAATAATACGAATCGATCGAGTCTAGTGTGTAAAAAAATGGATTGACAGATTTTTTAGGGTGGCACTTTTTAGATAGCTAGTACTTCAAAGATTGGGAATGTGGGTGTGGCTGCTGCAGAAAAGAGTTAAAAAAAACTCAATCAGACACCTTGCTTTTTTAATTGTTGTAATGCATCGATTATCTAAACGTCATAGAAAATCATGCAATCGATTAGAGATCAGACACATTTCGATTGAAATTGAAAAAATAGGAAACAGTGTCCGGTTATCCATTTGTCAAATGAATCTCGTTTACCAAGCCAAGATTATTTCATGGAAAATGATTTAACGAGAGGCAAGACATTGAACAAGGTCGTCATTATGGACATCTTCATATTTCTTTTTGTGTTTATTGATTTGATGAAAGTGATCGAGTTGAATTTTTTTTGGCTCAGAAGAAAACCTTGCGTGTCTTTTGTTAAGACAACGAGTCATCGATTGCGTAACGATCAATCTCATTTTTTTAAAATAGAGAAAAATGAGGGGTGTGAGTTTAGATGTATCTATCCCATGAGTAGAAATCCACACCCTAATAGGTTCTATTGGCTTTAATCATAACAACAAATGAAGAGAGCAGTTGGGAATAATTGAAATACACACTATATCTCACTCTTATATGCAATCTTACTTGTATTCTCACATCCTAAAGTAAAAAATTAATTTCTGGAGATGAAAAGAAATCTAGTTTCTAGGTTTGAGTAAACTGTGCCACAGTTTTGCCGTTTCCATGACCATGATGATGATAACATAGATGAATTCTTTGAGCCATCTTTTCGCTTACTAATTATCAGAGACCTTCAGGATGCAGATCCTATAGTGTGTTCGAGAAAAGATGTAGCGGATACCAAGTCACTAATAATCTGGCATAGGGTAGGATAATATCAACCATGTTTCGTGGTGATGTAGCTTTACGGTTAGAGAATGTTTGCTGGGGCTACAGAAGGAGAAAACGAAAGCTTTCTTTATAGATCTTCTTATGATATGATTTTGAGGTTTGTTAATTATAGAGCCTTTAGGTTAATTCAATCGGATGATAAAGTCATCGATAACAGCTTATCTGTTATATATTTATACCCGACCGGGATAACTGTTTGTTGTCAATGAGATTTTTGTCTAGGGGAAAAACTCGTCGTGATTTTATATTATTATCAATAATAGTTAGAAGAGTATATTTCTCAATTTTGGCTTATATTTCATTGAATAGATTATTTAAGTCATCAGGATTGACATTTGCTGGAAAATCAATATGCCTATTTCGAAAGTTAAACTTATAAGACTATTTATTCGTTTTCACCAGAAACTCGAAAACAACCAGTAGCAATAAGATATATTTTGCCGCCTACAATTTTTTTTGTTGATTGGATTTTGAACTTGATATCTTCATCTGGGCTTTCTTATTCTGTTATTCACATTACAAGTGACCATTTTTCTGTTAATTTTTTTTTTCTAGTACAGCATGCTTGATTAATTTTATGAACGGAACACTGTCAATGCCTTTGAGAAAATTAGTAATTGTATAGTATTTGACAACGCAACTCATGTAGATTAGGACACATAACAAAATTCGTCGTTCAAGCAGAACGACTGAGTAATTATGTCGTAGGTGAATATTCGATGTATTAAATTCATTCTTCTGCAACAGATATTTGGGCGTGATTTAATGTGATCGATAGCTACCGTAAAGATTTTCTATGATATACTTACCATAAGTAAAACATTTGTTATCTGTTGAAAACATGTTTATACAACATTCTAAAATAGTTCTAAAAAAACTACTTGATTCATTACATATATATCTTTTATTTATCTTTTTTTATTTCGTTATTTAAAAAACAAGAGTCATACTAGATTGCGCTTCCGGAGCAGAGTGTTTTGAAACATACGATTCTTCAAATGAATTTTGTGGTAAAACGATGTATCCGGACTGCATAGCCAATCTGACTCAATCAAATATATATTCAAACCTTATTTATAGTGGAAATGAATTGACATGGTGCAATTACAACAGAACAGAAAAACACCAGTATGGCGCCACCTACAAATTATATGTAAGTGGAGATATCGTTTTGGCATGCAGAAAGACATAAAATGAAAACATGAAGGCGTGATTTTTAATAATCTAAACAGAAAAACATAAACTCGGATATGTGGATCCTTTAAGGAGAAGTGCCTTTCGTTTTTATCTGTTTGGAATTCAAGAACAGGTATTCATCTTTGACATCGAGTACTTTTACAAGAAACTATAAGTTTAGTAGACTGAGATTGCCGATATGATGCGTCTTAGAAACTACTAGTTGAAGTAAAACGAATAGGATTGAACGTGTTTTTTTTATTATTCAAGGTAGAAGAATTCTTTTTCTCTTTTCATTCTATTCAAATATTAGTGTTCTGTATGATGAAATGGAATTTAATGCTGCACAAACGAATACTGTTGCAATAGTAGCAAAAGAAAAACATGTTCTCATTTTCAATAAAAGACAAAGATGTGTGAAAGAACATTTCATGAAATACGAATCGGTTGAAACACTAACAAATTCATAAGCATAATAAAAGAATTTTTTTAATTTTGTTATGAATTTCAAGAAGAAAAAAATACCAAGATTTTTTACTTGTTGGATAGATGATATTTTGATTGTCTCTAAAAGACTTGTAGAAAAAAAAAATAAAAAGAACAATTCTAAGTCTGTTGAGAAATATGAATTTAACAAAAATATTTAAGAAGTTATTTAGGTGATTTATTACAGTTGAAAAATCTATCGAAATAAATAATAAAATAGTGATTTCATAAAAATTGATATTAATTGTAGAATGTTTTCCTCTTGTATTTGAAAATAATATAAGTAAGAAATATTTGATATTTCTGATCAATAGAATATCCTTATTAAATTAGATTTTCAAAAGATTTATTTTTTGTTTGATTTTTTTTCAAAAATGAAAATCTAATAAATTTCTTTTGAATATAATAGAACAATAATCGTTTATAAAATACTTTTTATGAATATCAAAGAATCGAAAAAGATGATGTAAACAATAAAATCGAAATGAAAAGAAATATTGTGATATAATCAATCATTAATCTGAATTTGAATAATAAAAGTTTAATTAATAAATATTTGATATAATTATTTATCTAGAAAGTTTTTTTTATTTGATTTAAAAAATCGATTGTATAGAAATGATTAATAATTGACAAAAGAAATATCTTTATAAATATTATTTCAATGATCAAATGTTTAATTTATCTCGATAAATTAATCAATATTTAAATGAAGAATTTATTATTCGAACAAATCTTCTTTTATTTAATAAAGATTTTTTATAAGAATTATATAAAATATAATTTTCATTTACTTCGATTAAAAATTTCCAAAAAGAATATCTATTTTGATGATATTATTAAGTTAATTGTAGAATTTTTACAATATTATGTATGATTTGAATTTAAACACAATTTTCATATTGGTTTTTTGTAAAATACATATCTAATGTAATCTCAAGGTTGATAACAACATCAAGATTAAGCAGTCATGACCGATTTCGTCCTTGCTTAAGGGATTCATCAGATGGCATCAATCTTATTCATCGTCAAAGAGATGACAATGAAACTGCAATTCAACTCCTACGAACAGAGGAGATACAGTGTTAAATTGTATGACTACATTACGATTAAGCAGCCATGACCGCGTCGTTGAAAATATTATCTAAAATGGAGAACAATTTTTTAATTTTTTCTTTTTTTCGTATGCGGTGATTTTGTTTCTCTCCCATTTCTTTTTAATAGTGAGAGATGTACAAAGATGATAATAATTAGGAAAAGATGAGATTAAGAGATCTGAAGAATTTTTATAGCGTTGTCAAGTATTTGATGCTTGTTTTCGATGAAGTTTGATGCAGCATAGAAGGCGTTTATGTTTTTGAATAATTGGTATGAATTATGTGTTGTTTTTTCGTAAGGTAATCAGAGAGAAATGTGGACTAGTTCGGACAAGCTCTTGTGTTATATTTGATCTATCACTACTACCAATAATTAGTTAGGTTTCCATCACATTTGTATTATTAAATGTGGGTGTGAAATGGATAGGTGGTGAGGTGGATGTGGGGTGTGCGTGGGAGGTGTGGAGTGAGTGGGTGATGAGGTGGGTGTGTGGGTATGGGTGTGGGTGTGTGGGTATGGGTGTGGGTGTATTTAGAGAGAAGATCCACATCCATACCCTCAGCCACACCCATACATCCACACCCGCACACACCCCACAGGCATCCACACCCACCCTCTAATTAAGATCTTCGGTTGAATAACAACCGCACGATCGACGATGTTTCTAGAATATGATAACATTATCAAATATCAATTTAAACGTGTGTATGGATGGAGTGATGGTGGTTCTCTTCATGCAAGCACATCTATATCCTCAGTATCAATTCTTGTAATCCCTCTGGAAACAAAAATTGCCGACGTCGCAGTTTCCCTACAATATTTTTGATTGCTGCAAATATCAACATTGCAATAAATTATAGGCTGTATGCATTCATCTCACTTTTACAAACATTACATTTCTTCCAGTCATATACTATTTATAATCAAAAAATATCCACATGACAGACAACTACCATTATTATTAACATGAAAAAGGGGAAATAAAGCGATTCTCTATAATCCGTAGAATATCCTTGGCCAAGCATGTAAGTCGTTGCTTCTATCGTAATGATTATTGTTGTTGTTGTTATTGCTGTTTGCGTCGTGGACATTGTTATTATTGCTGTCGGCGACGTTGTTATTGTTGCTGTTGTGGACGTTGTTGTTGGAAACAAAGAAGAATCAACGCTTTGTATCCAATCGTACGATATCGACGTAGCAAAGCCAACTCGGTTGTTTACTATATCAAATACTGAATAATAACGATAGAGAAAGTAATCACCTAAGATCCAGAAAAGATTCCCAGGTCGAACTCACCTCATCGGATCCGATGGGAATTCGTCGGAAGTTGTCGGAATCCTTGGTATCGGATTCCGACAGGAAGTTGTCGGATGTCGAAAAGTGTCAGAATGGCCAGGATCCTGTCAGAACCCTGAAAATCCGACACTTTCCGACATCCGACAACTTCCTGTCGGAATCCGATACCAAAGATTCCGACAACTTCCGACAAATTCCCATCGGATCCGATGAAATCCGATAATTTTTCCGATAGAATCCGACGGAAACCGACTGTCGGATTGTTCGTCCTGGGTTGCCATGAGAATCTGTCATATTATCTGGAACGAAGACGCTAAAGCAAATGTAACCATTCAATTGATCGCGAACGATCAACAAATATTGTAGTGGTGTTAATGAAAATACTCTATCTCCTATTGTGAATGTAACATTAGGAAATAAAGATAGTGAACGAGTGTAGCAATCAACTGTATACTTAAAGATTGAGAAGATTTAAATGATATTATTTTCAGAGAGATTAGCAAGAAAAAGACATACCAGTCCACTAGTTGAATCGTAGGCACCACCTAGGGCAGCATTCAATGCAGTAACTTGAATTGTAGGTCCAATGATGAATGTCGTGCCGGTGTCAGCAATAGCATACACTGATGAACTTAAAATAGTTGATCCGATACTTACACTATTCAAATGAGAATGAAATTAGAACGAGAAAAATTGCTCAATAAACTATTACCTAGTCATGAGGAATTCCCAATATCCTTCTATTGCGACAGGAATGTAAGTAATAGAACCAGTGTATTTGCTTGAGTCTGCACTACCGAATATAAGTTCACCACCGGATTCCGCATTTGTATCACTGAAGACAAAATTTACATGAGAGATATTTAGAATCACTCATAGGATACTTACGGATTTAAATAGAAAGTAAAAATGGCTTCTGGAATGAGACCTTGAGACCACATGTTGTAGAAAAGTGGTTTCTCGGCACCTTTTGCCAAATTTGGATAGGCAAGACCCAGAATACCATCATTAACATCGCCATTCATACCTCTGAGAGATGTGCATTCAGCAAATGTTTGGTTTTGGACTGCAATTCCATTGATCTGAATCAAATAATCATTCAGTAATAAATTCTATGAAATGAATGAATGTTCTCTTTTTTTTTCTACAATTTCCTTCGAAGAATAAAAGCATTATTGAGCTACTTTGCTTTGTTCAAAGACCCAGGACGAACAATCCGACAGTCGGTTTCCGTCGGATTCTATCGGAAAAATTATCGGATTTCATCGGATCCGATGGGAATTTGTCGGAAGTTGTCGGAATCTTTGGTATCGGATTCCGACAGGAAGTTGTCGGATGTCGGAAAGTGTCGGATTTTCAGGGTTCTGACAGGATCCTGGCCATTCTGACACTTTTCGACATCCGACAACTTCCTGTCGGAATCCGATACCAAGGATTCCGACAACTTCCGACGAATTCCCATCGGATCCGATGAGGTGAGTTCGACCTGGGGAACTAAGTGAAAAGAAAAAAAGCGAAAGATTTGATAATCTTATGCTTCAAACTATGAACGATTCTCCATTATCTCGATAATGATACAATAATTTACTGTGACAGTATCAATACTAAAAAAACCAGGTGCTGAAGAACCATCACCATAGGTTATTAAAAATCTTTTCCCATTAGCCACATATGTTGTTGACTGTGTCGAAGTATACTTATTGAAACCAGCTAAAAAATTGAAACATGATTCAGATCTATATATTTGAGCGAATATCAATAACCTACTACAGGACGATCGACAGCTGCTTGATGGTACCCATAGATCGGAGGAACCTGTATCGAAATCGATAAGAAAATTTTGCGCTGGTGTTCCGATTGATATCAATCCGATGAAATAAGCCTATTCAGAAAAACAGTTTTCAAAGGCTTACAATGAACAGATTACCAATGTGAGTATTCCTATACCAAAACTTCTGTTCATGTCTATATGTCGAGTTATTTGATCTTTCAGATACTCAGAAATAAGTATTTTTTTCGACTAATTAAATCAAATTATAATTGGAAAAATTATTTGTTACTTTCTATAAGATGAGCTTAGAGATGACAGACAATTACTTTCATCAGCTTCATTGATGAGATTTTCATAAATAGAAGATTTTGTCAGAAAAATTTTGCCCAATTTACGCGAAAATATTTGACAGGTCATCATATTTGTCGGTGATATTGTACAATTTGTTTTAGTGGATGATGGTCGTTGAATGCGATGAATAGAAATTCTAACAATTCAGAATAAATTAATTCGTGCATCGACTCAGTCTACCAAAAGAACTTACCGAAATACATCACTGCCAGCCATTTCATCACATAAACCAACGACAATGAGCATAACAAGTATTTCAATAGTCACTTTCGACATTAATCTTTTCTTATTTGCTTACACGGACGAAGTATAAAATAAAATCTATGTACTAAGATCAAAAGCACATTATTTTAATTATTAGAAATGAGCTAAGCAATAAGTAAGAGAGTGATGCTGTATGCATAAATATCGTAAAGAATAAACAGGTTTCCTTTCTGATTGTTACCCATTCTATCCGAGTACATTTTCATTTTACAAGAAATACTAAGCAGAGAGAATTTTTCCTGACGAGCCAAAGCGCTGCTACGGAGAAATATAATGAAAGAACAGATGAAGAAAGTAACATAAGTTCTTCCTGACGTAGAAAAAAGTTAGTTAATGTGAATCAACAAGATAAAGACACTCGAGTGTTTCTGCATGTTCACATTTACAAGAAGAATGAAATGCATATATAAATATAGTGGTTAGGAAGAAAAAAAAAAGAGTCACCTCTGTGTTATCTGGCATTAAACAGCCTATTGATGAAACAAAGAAAACCTCTTTGTTTTGTATTATTATTATTATTATTTATTGTTCCACGATATTCAATGAGACTTTACTCAATTAGTTCGATCTGGAGAAACACTATTATAGTTCAAGAACGAAGATAACTCTAGTGACTTTGGATTTATACCAATCAATAGGGCACATTATGAGACATTCACATACGCGAGAAATCACGTACTGACTTTAGTCAATGTTGAAGAGTTATTGAAGGTTACTGTGAATGTTCTACACAAAACCGATATCTCTTAGCTGTAGCTTCTCAAACGAGATATTCTTAAAAATAATATACAATTACTAAATTATTTCGATAGCTAATTTACGAGTCTGATAAATCCGTACATTTTTATATTATATAGATATTTAAAGTAAATATTACTTCACAGTTAATTGCAAGGTAAAGGTCTTAGAGGAAAGCATTCAATCATATATTAAATTAGTACTGAGAATTATTAAAAAGTAACCATAATCAAACTAATTTACACCAAAAAATTAAACGGTAAATTTATTTCTATTAAACGTTAAAGAGTAATTATTATATCAAACTGTTTTCGAACTGTATGTATATGCTAAATATTAAAAGTTGCTTTATACAATGATTGTAACGTTTTGGAAAATGAGTCCTCTCTATCTTGTAATGTTCAAAATATCTAAGTGTGTTTCTGAAATTCTGGCATCGATCAGAGAACCTATAAATACTCTTAAGAGAATTTAAGTAATATTAATTGACTGCATTACGCTCAATAATGATACTATTTCCAGTTTTAAAGTGAACCAAGTCTCATTTTCAAGATTTCTGAAATTTAAAAGCTCCAAATAACATGATAGAAAAATCTATATATCCTTTTAAGTGTACTTGAAAGACATCCAACTACTTTCGGCACTCTCAAGAAAACACTCAAATCTTAAAAATACTATAAAATAGAGAGATCAGCTTTGTGTAAATCGAAAATTCTTGATTTCTTTGATCTATTGAGTATCTTCGAATGAAAATCCTATAAGAAAAGACTAGCTACGTACATAGTGTATTCTACCGACTAGTAAAAGCTACAAATCACTAGCGTTATTTATTCTCGAATTATTCAAAAGCCCTATCGAGTCTCTTTATTGATTCATGTTGTTTTTAACAACCAAATCATCTTTCTAATCAGAAAGCTATTGGCACGTTTGTCATTAATATTCTCGTTTAAACTCAGTTATGCTTGTAATGAACTGTTTCTTTCTTATTTTCTCAAATACTAAAACCTTTGAACATTGCACAAAGTTCTTTTATTATTCATCACATTTGTACCAGCAATAAGCAAAAAAAACGAGAAAGAAACGTGTAATCTAACTTACAAGGTCAGTTGCTGAAAACATCATGATTCAAGTTGGTTATATACCTGAGCCTATTTGATGAAAGCTATCGTACATCAATCATTCTAATAAATATTTCAGAGAACGATTCGATCGAAGTCTATGTATGTGAATCAAACTACAGGTGTACGCATATATTCATATCTTCAACTTTCAATATTTTTACAAATGTAGACATTAACCATAAGTATGGTCTCGGTTAATTACAGTGTGCAATAGCAACTGATTCATAATAAACGATTATGCAGAGTAATGGGTTGTAGTGGCATATTTAATAGTACAATTGAAAAGACCATTTTTAGTGCATAATTTATGTCATATTCGATTTGTACTTTGTAAAAGAAGTCAATCTTTTTCTAAATGAAAACACTGATGTGACAAGCTGAAAATGGGTATGAAAGCAGTGGCCTAGTCAAGTGTTCTTCAAGTATTGAATCATTTCTCAGCTTAATACTTCTAAGAATTAAACAATCAAGGACAGTGAGAGTACAATATGTATAAGATGCTCGACAACAATCAATAGTCAATGAATAAAATTTCCAGTGAACTATACTATGTCAACAAATTTTGGCTTCAGACATTGTGAGTTAAAATAAAAAGAAATATTTTTGTTGAATCTAATTATAAATACGCTGTAACTTCAATATGATTCTATTATCAACTAGATCGTACAACAGTTGATGATGAGATCATATTCCGTTCGTAATTTTAGATATTCACATAATACTTTTTTGTCTTTATCACACACTAAAATTGCTGAAAAAAGGTATGAAACACTATTTGAATATACTTATTGAGATATTGCTGCAGGTGAAGCAAATTTTTGTACACTGAAACGTGGCAAACTCTGCAGTGTAAGCCATAGTGATATGTCAATATTTCGAATATTTTCAATAACTTGAACAGCTTGCTCGACTGTTTCGAATGGGGTGTGGGTGGGTATGGGTGTGGGTGCAGATGATGTTTTCTACACCCACACCCAAACCCCGATTGAACAGAATTTCATTGTTTTTTATCTAAATGTCTTCTAGTTCAATTAGAATTAAATACATGTTTAGATCGTATTCTATATCATAAAACTCATTCATTTTTTAAATAAATAAAGAGATAACAACTTAAATCTCCAGCATAATTTTCAATTTCAAAAGTTCTTATTTAATTTATTTACAGATAATTCAACAAACCATCGTATAAAGACAAAAAAACAAATTGAGTACTGTTCCCTTTTTTAAATTCATCATCATCCCACAAACAATAATGTAAGAACGACATATTCTTATTTCTTTCATTCAGCTTCTTGCATTTCTATTCATTCTTAATTAGCCTACACCAAATGATCAAAACTCTATTCCAGACATCTACTCTAGATTAATACTTGCCGTTATACGACCTGCACAACGCAGAACAAGCAGTTCCATGAGACAAACTATCTTCAACAATACCGCAACAATTACAATAAAATTTTTCCTTCCGTCAACAATCCAAAGAAAACCAACCATATAGAAACATTGAAAGTCTAGCTCATAAAGACTCAGATGGTTACTATGCATTGCTCTGACCAACGCATCTACCAAAATGACATGTACAAACCACCACAAACATAACAGTATAAAAGCCAAAACAAAAATACAAAGACAACCTCAACAACTACACAAAAACAGACCAAGAGGATGCAATTTTACAAATGCATCCCAATTACATAAACAACCACAAAAACGTCACAAACACAATCCAGAAACAAAAGACATGACACGACTACTGTCAACGACACAATAGCACCTTACAAAATAGCCAACTCTTCCCTGGCACCAATCGACAATAATTCCACAATCAATCTACGAATCTTCTATCAGATAATGCTATCAGAGAACCGTACTTTTCGCAATTTTTCTATATAACCAAACCTGTTACAGTAATATTTAGTGCCGCCTTATAAGATTTGTTTCAGCAACATTGAAATACTATAGCATCGTGGTAGCTATACACACCCAAGATATATTTTGTTTTGGATTTTATCTTATCGAAAATTCAGAATAGACAAATCATCTGATGAGTCCCTTAAGCAAGGACGAAACCGGTCAAGCCAGCTTCTTCACCTCCACACTCATTCGTATCCGCACCCACACCCTTTTGTGATCGCTAATAGAAGTTTATCGTATGGGTGTGGGTGTAGGTGGGGTGTGGATGTGGGTGGGTGTGGGTGTAGGGTGTGGGTAGGCGTGGGGTGGCTGGGTGCGGGTGTGTGGTGTGGGTGTGGGTGTGGATGTGGGTGTGTGGTGTGGGTGTGGGTGTGGGTGTGAGTGTAAGTGTGGTGTGGGAGTGGGTGTAGTTGTGGTTGTGGTTGTGGGTGTGAATGTGTTTACTATGTAAGACAACATTTGTAGCTAGTCAACACCCACACCCACCCCACACCCACCCACACCCACACACCCACACCCACATCCACCCACACCCCCACACCCTCACCCACACCCACAGGGTGTGGGTGTGGGTGGGTGGGTGGATGGGGTACGGGTGTGGGTGTGAGGTATGGGTGTTGGGTGTGGGTAGAGATACGGGTGCGCAATGTCGGTCTTTTTCTTGACAATACCCACACTCACACCCACACCTCACCCACCCACACCCACATTCCACCCTCATCCCACCGACATCCACATCTACATCCGCACGCTCACACCCGCGCTCCCTTCATATTCACCCACACCCCATCCACACCCCACACCCACACCCACACCCTACACCCCACGCCCACATCGAAAAAGTTTCTGGTCTATCTTTTCTTCGTTCATATGTAATTAAACTATGTAATTTCGCTTCATTAATTGAACTTTGTGGATGATTTATAATCAATGATTTTTTAATTTGAGCTTCTGTTATTCTACATTTGACATGATTACATACGCATGGATGTATTGGTGACGGTAATCTTGTTGTTGAATTTCGTTCATTTTCTTCATGTTTATGTGTGTTTCTTGACATAAGGGTTACCGATTGCATGTGGTTGTCCGCCACAATAATTTTAATTTCAAATGAACATAATGGATATTTTCTGTATTCGCTGCATTTAAATGAGTATTTGGTTTCACTTTTTAAATCTGATCGTCGATATTGACAAACATTTTATTTTGTTGTTGCAAAGTCTTTTGCTTCTTCATATGATTTAGCGATGTGTAACAATGTCCATTCTGTACTAGACATTTTTAGTATGCTATGGTTCCTTATGAAGGCACACATTTTAAAATTGTTTTTACTTAATTGGATCATTTAGACCGGATAAGATTATACTTTTTTGTTTAAGCTTGTTTAATTGATCAATCAACGTTTATGATAAGTATATGATCTATCATAAATCTGTTATCCATAACTCATAACAGTAACTCCCGATCGCTCACTACGAGCTAATTAGTTTGGTGATCAAATGTATCATTTTTTGGTGATCATTTCGCAACAAAAAAAATTTGGTGATCAATTGTATCGTTTTTTGGTGATCAAAAGTATATTTTCCCGAAAAAAGTGATCGAATTTTTCTCCCAAAAAAAAAGAAAGCTGAATCTTTTGAGGCATAAATCTAAATGATTTTCTATGTAAAATGATTCAATTTATTGAATCACATAATAATTCTTTTTTTTTATTGTTTTAGATCGGTTTCAACAACACAATATCGAACAAGTCAACAGCAAACAATACAATAAAGTAATATGTAGGTATTAGTTTTAATATTTCAACTTTTCTTTGTTTTTTTTGTTCATGTGGAAGGTGGGAAGTCCTTCTTTTAGTTTTTTTTGTATTTTAGGAAATGAACAGTCAAGAAAAAGATAGCAGAATGGTCAGTTATATTACTATTTGATATCATCGTTTAATATTAATTTTTTTTCTTTTCCTTTTTAGACGACATCATCCAACGTCAAAGAGTGAGTAATTTTTTTTTCTTTTTATTGTGTACTCAAAAAGTGAGTACACTCTAGAATCGGTCAGTATGTCCGTCCGGCCGTCCGTCCGTCCGTCCGGCCGGCCGTTTACACGATAACTTTCGAAAAGAGAGTCCGATCACGATGAAATTTTCTATACAGTTCAGTCTTTACAATATCTCGGTCGAGTTCGAAGATGAGAAGGATCGGCCGAGCCGTTCCTGAGTTATTGCAAAAATACCCATTTTTCCCTATAGCTTCCTATGGAAAAATCGACCCATCGCCGCGTTCGTAAAAGACTTTTCCTATCATAGTCAATTAAAACCCCAACTGTTATATACCATTCGATAGAGAATTTCACGGGCTACAAAATGGTAAATAAAACATAAAGTAGCAAGAGGGCTAACTCACTTATTACAAAGATAGTTAAAGGGAAATGGGTTCCGTTTTTGTCCACGATCTAATTGACTCACAATTCGAGCTCTATCTTCCGATCATAGAGCTGATACTTTGAGGTTTTCTGGGGCGGAGAACTCGAATCTGTGCTCCACTTGCCTCGAAATATTATTGGTTGAGCAGTGACCAATAGAAATCAAGTTATAGGAAAAAACGACTTTCTTAGGGTTAATCAAGGGAAAGAGTTTAAATTTGAGCTCTATTCGTCTCCAAGCCCTATTGATGGACCAATAGCCAACAGAAATAAACAGTTTATAGGAAAGGTTTCCCAGTATAATTTTGATATCCACACATTCTAGGATGACTCATCTGTCTAATTCACTTTTTGAAGTACACATAACTCTCGGATTTAAATCCGAAGTTTCCGCATTTATTTTTTGAGATGAGACGGGTTAGGGTGAGCCTCAGAAAAGTGAATGTGAGTAGAGAAGAGTGAGTGATGTCTGTTGAGGTTAGGTTCGCGTTATAAGAAGAACTTCCGGGTAGTCCATAAAATCCCGACCAGGAACTGACTTGGTGTCCGTGGCACACGATCGAACCCCTAGACTTATTGACACAGGGCATTGGATGGGTGCATGTGGATGATGTGGATCTTTTCGCGCGTACAAATAGAATAGCTATGAATTCATTTTCATTCAATCACGATTTACTTGTAAGAGAAAGAGAAAAAATAAAAATAACCATCGTAATGAGTTCATTCGATATTAAATTTTTGTACTCGATGATTTCCGTGATCGACGACATAGAGATTACCATATCGATCAAATGACAGACCAATGGGACAACTGAGTTGATTCGATCGTGCTCCTTGACCGTTTCCACCAATGATGACACTTTCCTGTGTGGCTCCTTTTAGCCAACGTATGATGCGATGGTTCCAGTAGTCAGCCACATAGACAGTGCCCAGTTGATCGACAACGACTCCTTGAGGACGATTCAATTGTGTAAGATTATTTCCTTGTCCTTGATTACTGGCTACAACAATACCATGTTTTGCACCTTGTTCCCATTTCATTACACGATGATTTCCAAAATCAGACATATATAATGAATGATCTCGATCAACAAATACATAGTGGGGATTAGAGAGTTGATCGAGATGATTTCCGTATCCATTGCCACCTGCAACCACTGTTTCTTCAGTGCCACCAATTTTATATCGTCTCACTTCATGTTTTTTCCATTCGACGACATAGAGAGAACCATTCTCATCCATTGTCAAGCCCCAGCAAGAAATATTTGAAATAATTGTTTCTCTGCTAGCACCATTTTGACGAGGCCAACGAACTACTCTTTGATTCCTGTGATCGCTGATGATGAAACTATCCCTTTCTTTGTCGACAATCACATCTACTGGGTAGCTTAACTGATGAGCTTTATTTCCATGTCCATTTTCACCAGTAACTACTTTTCCATTCGTTGCACCAGATTTCCATTCCACAATACGATGATTACCAGAATCAGCAACATAAATCGTTTGATCATCGTTAATGTACAAACCGCATGGGTCATGGAGTTGATTGATTTCACAGCCATATCCATTTCCCCCAGCAACAGTGATACCATTCTGTGACCATTTTGCATTCGGATGAATATCAGGTGAACTTGCACGTAGCGGTACTGAAATAAAACAAAAGTATGAAGTAGAAATAAACATCAACTTCATTGAAATGAGTCCTAATCATTTGTTTTGAACAGTATTAAACTGTTCTCAATTCCAAAAACTTATACTTATGACCTGATTAGAATCTGGTTTTTCTCAATGTTGAAAATAAAGATTGTTGGTTTTTTCAAATTTTTTGTGTTAGAATCCTTAGTTTGACTAAAACTAGCTAAGATTTAACTTGTAAGGTGTAAAAGGATTAATAATACATGATGAGGAGAAATAAATCTAACACGATAATGAAATTTTCCTTTATATCGAATTTTTCGAACATATTCACTGATTTCGTTAGTTCGAGTTTGAAATATATTTAGATTTTGTGTCATCAATTTAAAATTCATTTCATTTTTTTTTGTTTGGATTTTAAAAGATACATATTTAAAAGTGAACTTTTCATGTACCTGTTTTATTTTTAAAATAAAATATTTAATCGAATTTCTTGTAGGAAAGAATCAGCGAGTGTTATGACAGAATTTGAACGTAAGTAAAAAATAATCGAATTATTCAAATAGATCTTTGAAAAGTAACGTACGATGCAAAAGTAATGGTACGAAATGTTGATTCTTATTTCTCTTCGAGAGACATGTACTCGAACAAATTTTTTTTTACCAAAAGATAGAGCTTTTCCCCCTCTTTCGAATCGTACATAAAAGAGAGACATCCTCAAAACATATCGGCATTTTTCGTGGAATTTTGAAAAGAAAATTTTGTTATCAGTCGATAGATAATTTTCTTTCTCTTTCGAACGATGTCTGATTTATGTTCGTTACACATTCCTGAGTGAAATGAGACAAAGAAGAAAAACACACTGGTGCAATTAATTTGCGACTTTTATATGAATTCGTCAAAAACATTTTGCTAGACAATAATTAATTTGATCTTTCCATACTCATTAAAAAGCCTTTGTAAAACTGTAGTTACTTCACCTTTTATAAACTCGTTAAAACAGCTTGTAAAATGATAATTAATTATACTTAACAAGCATCCATAAGACGTTTTTGACTGATTCATACAAAAATTGCAAATTTTTTGTGCAAGTATTTTTTTTTTCTTATTCCTCTCATTCCATTTACGAATGTGTGACAAATATAAATCATACACCATTGGAAAGAGGAGAAAAAGCTCTATCTTTTGGTGAAAAAAATTTCTTTCAGCACCCTATGTCCCGAAGAGAAATAGGGATCAATATTTTGTGCCATTAATTTTGCATCATACGTTAAGTATTCTCTTATTATTGAGTAGAATACCTTTCGATGTATGAGATGATTTTACAGTACAACAGTTGTTATCACCTAATTCGTCATAATACTTTTTCTACAATCAATCGGTCTATCCATAATTCGATCGATCACTTAAATAGGATTGAATGTTTATTTTATTCATGAATCTCAAACAAACAAGTAAATATTAAACCAATCTATTGAATTTAAACAGAACTGAACAGTAGAGTGTTTTTAATTGTTTGTAGAAAGACTAATCGAAGTGCTAAATAAGATAAATTTAGATAAAAAATACGTCAGTTCAAATTTTAGTAGACAAAAAGAACTCAAACAAATCTCTCCCACTTAAGTTTCAACGATGAATGAGCTATTGTATACAGTTAAAATATATGTGTATATATTGAACTCTCAAAGTTAAATTCGTTTTTTCAGACCAGAAAATTTGTTATTCGAATGAATAACTCGTATATCATTTTAAAGAAGAAATCACAAGAAAGCATATCTCAATTCTTTTTCATTTTATCTTCGATTTGGTTGATGTCTCTGTTTCAAAAAGAAAATTTCTGTCAATATAGACTAGAGTCATTGAAAAAATATAAATAATTTTCGTTAGTGAAACTTCATGCTAGCTAAAGCTAGAAATGAGAAACGATACAGCTAAAATCACTTAATGTCTTAGAGTTTAAAATTTAATCTCTACGAATCTTGTTTATTCTACAATGTAGCACAAACAATGATCTATATACGAATCATCAAATATTTTATTCTGAATTCATTTCTAATGTATTACACATTTTCAACTTAAAGGGGTGTGGATGTATGGGACACAGATTTTTAAACAATAGCAGATAAAATGATGGTTCCATTAAGAGAATCAAGTCAAGTATTGTAAGTCAGATCAGCGGAGAATGTTAACACGAGTAAAGAAAACTTTCTAAATAAATTAATGCTGTCAAGTTTCGATCACGGATCGATTTCGAACTTTCTACAATTAAGTATTTCGCTTCTTTACAAGACAATACGAATCTCCTATCGAAACCTTGATTTAAAATCTTTGCAAGTTTGTGTTTTGTAAGTTATCCAATAAGTGTAGATTTTTGAGGATTCTAACAAAAAAACGATCGTAAAGATTTTATCATGATTTTACCTATTTTGTTTTCAACGTCCTAATCAAAACTACTTAGTCTTTCATTCGTAACATGAATCTCAATAGCAATAAGTGTGAAGATTTCTTCTTCAAATTTTTATTCTATCGCATTCTGAACTGGTTAAATCCTAGAAGAAAGTTGTTTTGTTTGTCTAGAATTTTCTAAAGGTTTATATTGATACCGACTTGAGCTTTAGACTAGAAACAATACTTCTATGATTATATCTTGAATGGACAGTTGAAAAATCCTGCAATTCAAATATTACTTTTAATGCACATAATCATTACATTGACTTTTTTTTATTAAATAGTTCTTTTTGGAACTGACAAATCGTTTCATAATACCTGCTCATAGTTTGGATTATGTATGTAAAAAAAATTAGAAGTAGACTTTTCTTTATGTCAATGGAACCGATGAAGTTAATAAAAAAATGTCATGCAGTTTTATAAACTTCCTAAAAATAATAACATTTCTGCTCATTCATTTCTTTCATCGTGGATCTCGGTTTTATCTCTGATAAATCCTTTTTTATGATAAGCCTTCTTCCCTCCAGAGTTTCAAGAGTTTGACTAGCTCTGTTTGTGAATCTCAATATTTACAATGTTCAAAATTATAACATTCGGAATGAATCAATTGAAATAATTTCATCCTTTTTAATTTATTTATGAAGAATCCAGCTATAATCGAGATCTTGATTAAATTTAATACTATTAATCAATTTTCATTTATATTATGTGATGTCATGCATTTTTAATATGTTAATGTCTCAGTGCAATTGGAAGAAATACATTTTAGTATTATTTCTTTTCTTCGATCGACAAAAAGATACGTGTAAAACCGCATGAGAACTATGATTAGGTCAATAAGAGTGATATTCAATCAAAATTTATTGTAAATTATAAAAGTAGATGAAAATCATCAATTTAAAAGTGATATGTGTCAAAAAATTCTACGGTAAGGGTTAGAATTAACACAACATATCTAATTTTTTAACCGAAGAGATTATGGAATCTAAAACGCTAGAATATATAAAATTCGACTAGATATTTTTATTTTCTACTTATTTATAGATGATGACATAGAGCTGTATGAGATAATTACTAATACTATAGATTTATTTCAATTAAATCAAACTTGTGAAATATCCGGCTATAATATTGATATAATGACATTCTTTGTTCCATATGTCTTGTCTATGTTATTTCAAATGAACTCAATACTACATAAATATCAATTACTTGATGATATTAGAACAATATATAAAATTATAACGAATTTCTTTTATTTTTGAAAATATTGATATCATATTTTTTATGAATAAACAAAGACAGAATTACTCAGAAAAATCACACATCACTATCAGTTTATGTAGTCAATATATGTAATATATTACAAAAGATAGATACGAATGTGTAAAATATAAACAACAAATCTCAACTTATTGCTTTATCTGTTACTTTTCTTACAGAGGTGGGATCGGTTGGCATTTTTGCCAAACCGAATCGACCGTAACCGAAAAAATCTCTAACCGAACCGAATGTAACCGACCGAATATTTAAAAATTTCTAACCGAACCGACCGTAACCGACCGAATTTCAAAAATTTCGTAATCGAACCGAGTTTAGAGAAAGTGAAGTTTAGCTTATGTTAATTAGGGTATTAGTGCTTTATAAATTAGCAACAACAAATCGAACAGTAGCAACTATGAGCAATCAACATCTAGAGAAAGTAACGAAGAAAGATTATTTATTGAATCCTCTTACTGTATTATAACTTTCTTACCTCTCACAACAAATTTAAAAAAACATGTAAGATAATACGAGTTACGAACAACAGCTAATTGTTGTACGATTACACTCTTTTTTCTTCTTATGTCGCAAAAAGTCCATCGAACTCAAATCAAAAGATTATGTCGATTCTTTCTAACCGAACCGAACGTAACCGACCGAATTTTTAAAATTTCTAACCGAACCGATCGTAACCGAAAAAATCCTTAACCGAATCGAAACGATTTCGGTTACGGTCGGTTGGTTCGGTTCGGTTAAAAACCGAACCGATCCCATCTCTGACACTCTAACATACCACGAATACACCAGATTTAATTTTTGACAGAAACCAGAGAGCTAAGATATTATAGGAACTCTTAGAACTGAAGAGCGAGGTTTAATTAGAAGAATCTCAGAAACTTTACCAACTGCACGAGTCACTGAAATTCAACGAAGTCAAGGAACCTATAGATTCCTAGCATATCAACGAAGTCTAAGAACTCATTGAAGTCAAGAAAACAACGAAACTCAAGAACCTGCCTGTAAACAGTAGCTCTTGGGAATTCAAAGAAGTAAAGAAAGCTGTCAAACTCAACGAACTACAGTAATAACCTGATTGTAAGGAACCTAAATAACTTCCAGTACTCCAATAATTAATAAAACTGGAAGAAACTTGATAATGAAAAAAACTAAAAAAGAAGTAAAGCATTCGCAGGAACATTCGCACATGGTTTGAGAAAAGACTATGCTGAAAGGTGAATCGAACAATTTTGCGATGAGTTCTTATTTTCTTATTATAAGTTTATACAGATTAGAATTGCTCATCTCACACATGTTTCTATTATTACTAATATCTGGATGGAAAAGAATTAGATACAACAGAAGGCGATTGATTCCAACTAACGAGGAAAATCTATGTACACTTATGTCAAAGATGCAGATATAGCTTCGCTTTATCGAGACACTTAAGAGTTAAGGTAACTCACTGATCTAAGTATGTTTGTTTCTAATTCTAGATTCAATAGTTCTAATTTTTTCCACTAAACAATCCAAAGCGTTGATATAAGCAACAACACCTGTTCTGTTTATATCGCTTTAAGAAAATTTGATTATCATCTAGTGTTGGAGAGGACAGATCGCTAATTTTCGAGAAAAAGATAGTTTTTTTTGACAAAAACTCAAAAGCACGTTTCTAAATAAAGTAAGGATTAAGGAAATCCTGTTGGTTATCATTCTCAAATAACTCTTACATGTACATTTGTCGTTTGTTGAGAAAACGATTGTAACTACGTTGGTATCCTTCAGAAAGTGAACGAAAACAAACATCTTATCTTTGAAGGATTACAAAATGTTCAGAAAATCATATTTTGTTTCAGATTGCTACTTCATTTTCAATCAGATTATGATCTTCTAGTAGTTCTATTTACTTTTAAGAGTTATTTTCAAGAACTAATTGGCAAAAGATGCGTCAAATTCAATAAATTGAGCTGAGTCTTTAATTCGAGATAATGTGAGCGTACTAAATTTCTGTAAAGAACAAAATCCTTGCATTCTTTGTAATAAAAAAAATATCAAAATGCTTTTGCTGGAATATCATGATAGAAATACAAAAAATATGAAAATCTTCTTCTAATAAGGGATATGCGCTGTCTACCAATAAACAAATTATGAAATCTATCGCAAGCAACCGAGTTACTCGACAGGTGAACTGTATCCAAATGAGAAAAACTCTTCGAGAAGTGATCATATCATTTTACAAACACCCTTCGTGAGTACACAGCGTTTAACAAATGACAGTGATTTTATTTACATACATTTTACCATCACTAATCATTTTCACTTTCAAGGTGATAATCAACGGTATCCTACCTTTAGTTGTTGGAGGATTGGTTTCCACACTGAGAAACTAAAAAGTATGAGATGTTTAATGGATATCCGTGTCGTAGAACGATTATCGTCTGACCTTTCTGATAGTTGACAAAAAACCAGTGTTTACATTGTTGGCGGCGGCTGCTGCAACCGTGTTGTTCTATAATGAAAAGGAGATAGATATGAACAAAAACCAGGTCACTAAGAAATTCTTTGAACTACGTACTTGAAATTTACTAGAGTCCGTGTCTATTTTTGTTTCAGTTATGCTGGCAGCATTTCTTCTCGAAGCGCCTGGAATTCAAAACAATCATTTATTTCTTAATAGGTTTTTAACGCCATTATCTGTAAAACTTAATTGCTTTTATTGTTTGGTGGCTTACTCTAAGTAGAAACGGGTACTACAGGTCGTAACATAAGAAATGGAGGCTTTGCTCAACGTGAGAGTGTAGATGTAAAGGAAAAGCATGAAGATGTGGATGGCATAGTGTATGAGAGCGTGATGTGAAAGTATTAGCTTTCCTTTTCACTCTCCCTCTCATTTACCCTCACGCTACCACCGCCGCTACGTTTGGATTGGTTTAAGTAGATTTTTATGTAAATCCAACTTGTTTTTTTGGGAGAAAAAATAAGGGCTAATGTCTCATCCTCTTAGAATCATCCTATCACGATCCATAAAAACACTTATTGAATTGTTCTTCAATTTTGTTTTTATTCTGTAGAAAAGTGTAATTTCCTGATGGTAGCAATAAAACTAGACAAACTTCCGCAGCATGTATTTATATCCTACCCTAGAGAATGTACTGAGTTAAGGGTACCCGATAAAGTATCCTGTTACCAGTGTGTCACAGGAACTATGGGGTACCAAAGTACTTGGAAGTACTTTCAGGTACCTAAGTGGTACTTTGACAAGTACCCTGCTACAAAATGTGTAGTAACTGGGTACATGAAGGTACTGATCAGATACTCAATTGGGTACTATTGTATAGTATTTCTAGGTACCCTGTTTTAAAAATTTCAGTATGTTCAGGATCGAACCTGACTTTTAATTTTTTTAATTTTTGTTTCTCTCAAAGCAATTTACTACATTTTTTTTTCGATTTTATTCAATTTAATTTTTTCAATTCCGAAAACTTAGCAGGTACAAAGTCGAGATCTGACCCGACTTCAATTGGTCAGGTATCCATCAGACCCCTTCAGAGTGGTCTGCTCTTAATCTACGATCAAGATCGGCATGTTCCTGACTAAGAAATAGTCAAGAAATAATCTAGAAAAAATTCGTATGAAAATAGATTAATTTCTTATGTCTTATCCAGTTGTTTATATGGCGCCGTGTGTGAAAAAGAAAACAGTGAATGAATAGTCGCTACACAGAACGCGACAAATATAGGGTACCCTGTATAGCTTTCCTCAGTAAAATTACAGATGCGAGTACCCATACAAGTACTTGTTCAGTAAGCATACTTTTATGGGAACCACACGCAGTACCTACATCAGTATAATTACTGAGAATTTTTGAAGTACCCATATTGGGTACCCTGCTAGGGCTTTCTCAGTACATGGGTACCCTGAACTTAGTACTTTCTCTAGGGTAAGATACAGATGCTTTTACAAAAATGTACATGAGAGTCTCTCAGAACTGCTTTTGTTAAGTTTTCCTTGTAATAAAATCAAGCATTATTTAGCGATGTGCAGTTTTAGTGTAAATACTGAAATACTGACGGTCAATCACTAATACAAGCCTCACTAGAGCATTGTTTGCACTGATATCCACACTTGCTGCAACCTAGAGTCACTAGCTACGTATATCAAAATATGCTTCATTTGTAGTAGTGTATTCAAGTGTTTCAGTGAGCATTGGTGGCAAGATCAGTGTGCCCGTGTAGTCAGTGTTCACTAACTACACTGATTCGGTGACATCCGTATTCAACTAATTGAAACTGCACATCTTCAGGTACATTGTTCATGAAAAAGAATTTAGCTGATATGTTTAAGATATGACGTAGATTTTTGTGTTGATTCCGAATGTACTATTGATTTTGGTTTAACATTCAGTTATGTTCAAATATGGCTGCGAAATACTACCGCATTTTTGAAAAATGTGTGCGTTTTATCATTGACACCTCAAACACAAGCCTCTCAATAATCAAAGTAAGTCGAATAACACGATATTGGTGTATCTGATGCTCAAAATCCAATGATTCTAATGAGATACGACACTCCGTCCGAACTTTCTTCATGAAAGAATCGATAAATTTATATAGGTCATGATGTACATAGGCTCTGACGTACACCTGTAGACGAATCTCTTTTTTCATTCTTTATGAGGGCAGATGCAGGTACCAGTAGAGAGAAGATATCTAATCCAAGACCCACCTACGCTCACACCTCATCCAACCACCACAAAAAAAGCAAAATAAATACCATGAGCAGTTCGTATGTAAAATTTATTATGACATTGAGGGATTCAATGGGATCCGAAAATGTCTAACGTTCTTTACTAACAGTACAAAATCTCCTATTATAAGAGAAAATTTAAACTGCTCAAAACAATTTAGAGACGCATTATCGAACTACATCATTTCTGGACGAGTTCTTAAAATATCATTGTACTTGTTATATTAATCGACTGCAAATTAAGAATAATAAAATTTAGAACGAATTTGTTACGCGTGAATATGAATCAGGAAGAGCGTTATGGCACATATGTTAGATGTACCATAAGAGAAAATATCATATGTAATATCCATATATATTCGTTTTCTTTCTTTTGTTTCATATATATATGATTTATAGTATTTGTCTTTTCTTTCGTTCTGTCAAATGTTTTCCCTACTGTGTACTTTTGTTTCGTTTCGCTAGGTTCGTTCTCTTTCAGTTAACAACTCTTGATCGTTTTCTTTTGTGTTTATGATTATTCCTTTTTCTTTTCTTGACCTTGAAGTGGACTTTATTGCGTAGTTAGTAATGCGCAACAACATTATATATACGTTGGTGTAATTCGATGAGAAGATATCTATATATAGTGATATAGTAAGAGTGAGAAAAGAAGTTGTTATAGATTGTTGTTATTGATTCAACAGAAATAACTAATAAAAAAATACTGAAGTAACATCTTAAAAATAACCATATACACATCAACGTAAATTAGGACATAACAAAAAGAGCGCCATTGCAGAGTTTCACTCGACTTTACATTGTAACTGAAAGTTTTTGTATATGATAAAGATAATCCGCAGCTTAGCTATGAAATAGCAACCGAGGACAATTGAGAACTCCCATCTCATGAGAATGTACAGAATGGGCATGCTGCAAAGGTTGCTTTCGAAATGCAGGCAAACTCACCAGTAATATTGAGAGTGACCATTGTCTCTTCAGTTGACATCTTATTCTTGGCTGTCACCTTGTACACTCCTTGATCTTCTTGCTTTACCCTAGCGACTGAGAATGTGTATTGTGTTGTCTCTCGGCTTGTGAACTGCAGTGCTTTTCCATCTTTTGTCAGCTGAACTGTCGGTATTTCCTTGCCACTCACAACCACGATAATGTCGAATGCTTGGTCCTCTTGCAAGTCAATCACACTCGATGCTGGTTTCACTTTTGTCAACTTCACTGATTCCAGTACTGTAAGTACACATGGAGTCGATTGTACTTCACCAACTTCATTCTTCAATACGACTCGATAGGTTCCTTCACTCAGTGCCACTGTTGACTGTTTGATCAATAGTTGATACTCGTTCTTCGCCTCATCTACTGATGCATTCTCCGATCCAATAGGTCTATCTTTGAAGAACCATTGAGCAGATGGTCGTGGTGCTCCTCGCACAATCAATTTTAGTGTGACATCTTGTTCACTTACAGTTTCTTGTTGTTTGGGCAAGTCTTCGATGATTGTTGGTGCAACGAGAATATCAAGTTGAACAGTTTCTTCTTCGTCGCCATATTCATTCTCCACTCGACAAGTAATTGAACCAGCATGTTGTTCTAGATCGACGTTTTGGATAGACAAGTTCGCTTGATCAGTCGTAGCATCGAATTGCATTTCAACGCCTTCTTTCGCTGTCAACAGCTTTCCATTGAGGAGCCATGTGATGATCGGTGTTGGATATCCATCAACATTCGAGACGAATACTGCTGTCTCACCTTGTCTCACTTTTTGTGTCGTCGGCTTGACAATAAACATAGGTGATTCTACAACAGCATATGTAACTAAGAACAAGAATAGTCAAGGTGACTTACTCGAAACAATAACTTTGCACTTATCGGATTGAAGTGATCCACCAACATTGGAAATCATGGCTGAATATTCTCCTTCATCTTCTGGTTGTACATTTAAGATGGTCAGTATGTATTTGTCATCGTCACCAGTCGATTTCGTCACTTGAATACGATCATTGGGTACGATTTCATCGTTGTCTCTCATCCAGACAATGTGAGGTTTCGGAGTTCCACTGGCGACGACTTCTAGTGTCAAGGTTTCACCTTTCGTGACTTTCAGTGCAGTATTGAGATTAGTGTTGATGATAGGTTTGATGCAATCAATCTTTAATGTTGTGTGAGCTTCAGTTTCACCAAAAGCATTGATTGCTCTAGCTGTATAGACACCTTCATCAGCAAGTTTAGCTTGACGAATTGTTAGTATCGATGTTCCATCATCAGTCTCCGTTACTTGTAGACGATCATTGGTTGGAAGTGGCTGATCATTGAAGAACCATGTCATTCGTGGCTTTCCGATGCCGCTGAACTTCCATGAAATTTGAGTCTCTTGGCCAAATACACATGATTGATTGTTTTCTGATATTGGAGCTTCTACTTTGGGTTGAACTAAAAAATAAGTAATCGTTCGTATTGGAGATGGGAGATGATGAGACTACTCGGAGCATGAGCGTATGTGGCTAGAAGATCCACACCCATACGCTGCCACTCACACTCCACACTTTTTTCTGTGTTTAGCTTAATCAGTTAAGTTGAAGGTTTAGTTTAAAAAGCATTTTGTTCTCTAAGTACGAATTTATCAATCAGTTTTCGTTCAACCATTTTTCGTGGAGCTCAGTAAGTACACCTTTTCGAATCAAGTACATCTCTCGCTCTCTTAATAAAGATAAGATGCACCCCTTCAGTTTAGTGAATATGTATATACGTAATTGCTAGATTAGGGACATTTCTCTCAGATTCGGGATATCATTGAGAAGTATCATGAACCTGTATACCAGATGTTATTCATTACCAACTATTTGGTTTTTGAACCAGGTAACCAGCATTAAGAATGACTAACTGTGGTACCCATAAACAGATTTTCACTTCACCTACACCCAAGATGTATATTCATGTTAATCAGCAATGGACAGGACATGCTAACTTTACTATTTTTAAAACTCTAACAAATCACATTTTTCTATCCAATATTCGATATTTAATCAGAATCAATTACTTCCACATTGTTTAAAATATAACAATAGGAAAAAACGAATAAATGTCGCCAAAAAATCCATTAATTTTTCGTCACATATTAAATCTTACCCAAAATTTATGAAAGGATGTGTGAAGAGGAAATCTGTCGATAACAGCCAAAACTTCAGCTTTTCTCCCTTAGTATGTCCTGATTGATCAATGGTTCTTGTTTTCTCACATAGTCATATCTTGATATCAAAAAGCAATTATTTTAGTAGAAAATAAAAGCAAATCTAATTGAAGGCATATGATGTTATATTGTTCACAGTTTACTTATTAAGGAAAACAAGTTATCCTATCTTAAGTAAGGTGCCACGAAGATTTAACTGATTTGAACTTTTCACTAGAGAAAGTATTTCTTGAGAAAATACTGATCACTAATAAAGTTTGATCAGCGAGTATTCAGATTGAAAAATTTGATTCTCTATGGATGGTTCGGCAAGAAATGTATTTAACTGCGAGATATGTAGAAACAACTCACCAACTCAAAGTCCTTGATCCCCAAAATCTTTGACGAAGTTGTCGACGTAGTTGCCACTTTTTGGAAAATAATGGCTTACTTTCGTATTAAAACTCGATGTACAAAATATTCGGCTACTCATGAAAAGATTAGAGATCGATAACGGTAACTATGCCTCATCTACTATTGAATAGATACCTCTCAAGAATAATTCTAATGAATTATTATCTAGATGAAATACCAAATGATAAGGAATGAGTCATAAACACTGGTATTCTTAGTGTCTTTGAGATATTTTTTTCCATAATCTGAAAAATTATTTTTGTGACAGTATTTGTCTTTATAGTGTAAGTCAAAGATTCAAAAGCCTCAAGAGCATTGTCACGGAAGATCTTGTTGCGCCGATATTGCTGCATAGAAAATGTTGTTTTATCCATTGCAACTATCATATTTGTGATCAACATATGTCAAATGACATATCTGTATGTTTTGAGACGTGAGGATAAAAATAAACTTTTCTTCGAGTCTTTGGGGGTACATCAGGTTCAAAAAATCATGATGCCACATATCGTCAATTGGAATTGCGCAATACAAGAATAACTCATATATGAAAACTGAATTGTCAATTTTCTTTGAAGGAACTTTTTCTACAGTAACGATATTTGCGTTTTAAAGAAGTAAACCAACAAGGTATTTTATCAAATCAAGTTTACCTTGCTTTCCAGATGTATCGCTAGATACAGGAATATTCTCTAGCAATGTTTTAAAAAATTTCGGTATTATTCTCTTTTGAACTGCTTGTAAACCTTGTAACCACCCATATTCAGCAACATTATCTAATGCTAATTCATATAAATTGTCTTTATCGGGAATTTTAATTTTTCCCAATAATTCAAATAATTTTGAACGATAGTATTCACGTAAACCTTGAAATAACACCGATCGCTTTTTATTATCAGAAAAATTTTCTATAGATTTTAAACCATTATTAGTTATTGTACACCATAGATCATTGAATACATTTGTTTCATCCATACCTTTGTCATCAATACCTTCAAATAGAAGTTGCAAAACAATCGATAAGATTGGGCAATCTTTCAAGTATTTATTGCCATATTCAGCTGTACGTTTCAGAACAGAATCATAATTGATGGCAACTTCATATTCTTTTAAAAATAAAATAAACCATTGATTTGAAGAACCATATTTTACTTTCCATTGTTGTTCAATGTATTTTTTCAGAGCTTTCATCAGTTTGCCATTGTTTTCATTTATTGCTGCTGCATAAATATCTGGCAGAAGGTCTTCTTCATACTTAGACAATGATTGTCGACCATTTTCTAGCAAATCATTTATAATTTTATCTTTTATTTCATATTCTTCCAAGTCAAGAGCGCGTATTATTTCATTCTTGGCTAATTTTAATACTTCATCATCACCCACATTGTCAAGCTTTCCTGTTGAAGAAAATTTGATTATTGATAAATTAGAAGAGAACGTGAGTATTGGGTGTGACTGGAAGCAAAGAGAAGATACACACTCGCGATTACATCCAAAAAATTGAAAGATTCAAAATATTCCATGACCGAAAGAAATGCATACCAGTGTGTAATAGAATCCATCGATGCGAAAATTGTTCGCACTTATGGAGAAATGCTCCTTTCTGTCTCAAGTCGTACATATCAAGAAAAAATAGAATGAAAGCATATACATACTTCTATCATTCACGGCACTTCTCTCTACACTTCCATTCAAATAGTCGTCTATCCCTTACGATAAAAAAGTGACGAAATTGTGATTTGCTCTCAAGTTATTTTCGACTTCTACTTGTGAAGGTAAAAACTATTGCAGAATTGCTCCTTTATTCATATTTAATTTCTTCTCGCTCAAATGGACACAAATACCGCCTGATTTTCTTCAAAAGAGAGTATTTTTCTGACTTTATGAGCTGATAGCCATCTCTGCTTTGAATGAATGGCTAAGAAAAAAATGAGAACAAGAAATAGAAACTAAAAGATCGTTGATTTTGTGAAACTCCTTTTCTTGCACAAACCATGACGCCACTATAGTCAGTAGCTGAGGATGCCAGGTAATACAGGTGTCAGCCTGTGTTTTGATATATTCGTCGCTCATATCCACCGTCGCAGCTACATTAACACCCATAACGATATCCACACCTGTACTCGCACAGTCATTGACTGAATAACCATTCTGTGGGTACTAATTAGTTAACCTCTAGCTTGAAGAATAATCCAGTTGATACTTTAGCTTTGCTTTAAAAATTAAAGTTGAAGTTCTACTTTAAATTTTACCAGTTAAAGCTGAAGTCGATAGACGTGGTTATGGGTGTTAATGTTGGTTTAACTAGTGGTAATCAAACCACTCACATCTACCCTTATGAATAAAGAAACCGATCGTACACGCGTATTGTTGAATTACCTGCGTCAGCATGTGCAGTAATACTGTTAGTTGACAGTGGTCTCTTCATTGTTTGTTGAATGTTATGATCAGTTGTAATTCGAGAAATAAGTTCATCAAGCTGAACAACAACAGCTTGTACCTATGGACATAAAATCATAAAACGCAATCGAAATCATTCAATTTAATTTTACTTTGGAAAATCTGCTAGACCATTGTTCATTAATTTCTTTATTCATACAGTACACATATATTGACACAACTTGCTGAAGATTGTGAACAGAAGGTACTATTTCTTTTCCCAATTGACCACTAACAATCATTACTAGTCGATCCTTTTCTGGTCGTTCTTCAATATATTTCTGACATTGTGCTCTATCTTGGAACTTCTTGAAATGATTAATAATAGAGGCAAATTTTTGTTCTGTATCTCGATTCCTCTCGTCGTTCACATTAGCGTCAAGCCAAATGATGCAGGAGATCACTAAAAAAATTCCGAAAAATAACATACAAAAAAAAAAACGTTGTTGATAATGTAATAGACGGGAAAAGGTTCAAGAGTTTGAAGTGAGACAAACTTTTTTTCTGTATATGACGAAGATTATAAATGATTTTTTCGTTTCTGATTTGGAAAAAGAAAGGTTTATTAGGTATTTCAAAAAAGGAAAAAAGGTTTATTTTCCATTGTAAGTTCATAAAGTCTGTTTTTTACAGTAACATAAGGACGGATATCATCAGCATTTTTGTGTAATATCAATGAAGGTGAATACATAGAATGGAAATTTTCAATGCTGATTATTCGATTTCGTTATTGAATATATGAATGCTAAAAGTACTTACACATGAACACACTCTCCCTTTTATTATTTTATTGAGTATTATTCATACTACTATTTTATTTTCTAAGTGTCATACAAAGAGAAGAAGAAAACAAGATGTTAAATACATCGAAGAAATCGACTTTCTTCTGAATGTTTACTTTCGTAGATAAGATTATTCAACCGAGGTGTGAAACTTTAGCGTAGTATTTTATTTCGTCTAGAGAATCAAGAAGGTTTTAAATCAGACTATATCATTTTACACTAAGTTCGGTGCTATCATTTGCAAATGTGTAGATTGTTCATTTTGAATCGGTATCAGTCATAATTCTTGTCTTTACTTTAGAAAATTCCTACAGTAAACTCAGTTGATTCTATCAAATTGAGTCTACATAAAAAAAACTATTTCTGATCTGATGAAAAAAGTTCTAATATTTCATAGAGCTAGATAATCTGATACTGGAAGACACAACAAATTCAACTTTGCTTTGAATAGATATCATCTTTGTTGAATTTTTTAAATATACAATAGCAAAATATCACTCAAGACTTCCAATTAGATTATAGCTAAGA